CCCAAAACCCCAAAACCCCAAAACCCCAAAACCCCAAAACCCCAAAACCCCAAAGGCTTAAATATTTGCCAAAATCATTTAGAATCTGAAATATCTGAAATATTAATATCAAAGCATCACACTAAGAATAAATCAACTTATTTTGTGTGGATAGGCGTTACTTGAATTAATTAGATATTCACATGATGGTTGATCACATTTGTAGTTCGATTGTTCTAATAATTTCATTTTAACTTCAATTATTGATTAATCTAATTTTATGTGTATCTCATCCACTGATAATCTCCATCCTTTAAAGTTTTCACTAGAGATCATCGTCCTCCTCTTCATTGTTATCATCTTGTATGTATTCCTCAGCGTTTTCTTCATCATCATCTTAAATGCCAAATGCTTATTTGGTTATCGAGTTTACATCTTCAGAATTTCCATTCGTACTTGGACTCGGTACATTCTAGCCACTTGGTTACTATATATTGCCTCCCATTCGCTCGATTGTCTAATCAACTATGTTCATTATATTCTACAGCTTGCGCCAGTGATCTATTGTCAGAGTGACACCTTTCTTCGTCGGCAGTAGGTTTTCTCCTTTTATGAAATAATCTCTTAAATCAACGAATACTTATCCATGATATCTCTTCACTTGTATTTTCTTTTTTAATCCAATCTGATATAAATTCTTAAACACAAATGAACTTACTTCAAAAGATTAAACTTCTTCATCAGGTTCTCCTTTACTTCCTCCGTATGTCCCTCCAGTATTATTATTACTCGGGTTAAAGTTATTTGTTTGAGGTGGTGCCTCATAAGCTGGAGGGTTAAATGTTCCTCGGGGTGCTGGACTTGAGTTATATTTGTCATTGTAACCACCACCACCATTGTTACTTTTATAGTGACCTCCGCCTCCTCCGTAGCCTCCGCCACCTCCATAGCCTCCCCCGTAGTTGCCTCTTCCACCTCCCCTACTCCTGCTTCTGAAACTATTATTGCGGGCTCCTCCACCACCTGAATAACTATATCGTATTAATTGAATGTAAATGACTTTGATAGGGAGAAGACTAATAGGAAGAATTCTAATGATTCCCGTACGACCCTCTGCCGCTTCCGTATCCTCTATCTGGAGTATCATCAAGAAAATTAGCTGAAAAATTACTGCCATTTGAACGACCACCTCGGTCATAACCACTGCCATAATTCTATTGATATCGCATGCGCTTGAAAGGATTATCCATTTTATTCTCAAGTTTGATGTTTGAATGATAGTGGAGCGATGTGCTTACTAATAATTTTACTACTTAAATTTTGCTAATTTAATTAGTGGATATTATTTGATTTTTGATTTCTCAAATGCGCAACTCTAATTTAAGCTTATTTTAATCTTAGGGGTTTTGGGGTTTTGGGGTTTTGGGG